TCCTTCCTTCCTTCCTTCCTTCCTTCCTTCCTTCCTTCCTTCCTTCCTCCCACAACCCACCCATCACCCATTCATTAAATATTTTTCATTTCCCCCCCCCATTCCTATGCAAATCAAATGTGTATATGTACGCTTATGGCTATGTACAATAATCCAGCTGTAGAATATTTCCATGGTTTGCCACCTTGCTAGAATAACATCAACAAACAAACAGCTGGTGTTTAGTGACTGTCAGATCCAATTAAAAATATCAACCACTTACTTTGATTTGTGCTCAGTCATACCAGGGGTACACTTAAAAACATTAGACTCTGCCACTGCTTGTTGGAGCTTTGTTCACATTTTTCTTTTATACCTTAAAAACTATTGATGGCAGAGTCACCTCAGTTACTGCCTCTTTTTAAACCATCAATCTTTAATTTAAGACAATGCTGAGAAGCAGCAAGTCTCATCTGTAGTTATTTGAGCACTTAGATTCCAAAGTGTGGAAGACTAGTGCATTGGAAAACAGAAAGATGGGAAGATCAATGGCGAAAGTTGTCCCATTACTCAGCTTGGAGTTGGGCAGAAGGGAAACCCATAAATCTTTTGCCCCAATTACAGTGTTTGCTAATTGCAATTATTTATTGTTCTCTCTCTCTCTCTCTCTCTCTCACTCTCTCTCTCTCTCTCTCTCTCTCTCTCTCTCACACACACACACACACACACACACACACACACACTCTCTCTCTCTCTCTCTCTCTCACATAATTCATTATTTCCTAAGGACTAGGACTAAAAGGTACTTCCCTTGATGGAAAGGTTATTTTGTAAGTAAGAGACTCTGCTCTGCTTCCACTGTCCTATCGCGAATTGTTCTAAATAAAAGAAATGTTCTGATGCTTTTAATTCTGTGTTTGCTGTTCTGAATCACAGTGGTGTATGGCAAGATAAATGGACTTCCATCCATCCATCCATCCATCCATTCCTAAAGGCTATCCATCTATCCATCCAGCTTTGATCACCATTGCTACAGCAAAGAATGTGGTCATTTTTACAGAAAGTTCACAATTGTTATTTAGTAGGAAGCATCTAACTGTTTGACTCAGTCCAGATAATTTACAGTTAGAAAGAAGATTAGCTTGGCCCTCCAAGAATGATGGGTAAGATCTCTCAAGACTCCACGTATATTTGTTTCAACTTTGGAATCTGAGCATATACCTAAGAGTTCTTGAGAGAGGATATTATTAAATCTCACCATCAACAGAATCAAGAATGTGTAACATATAACTCATTCTAAAACCACTTCTGCAAATTGGGAATATATTCGTTGCTATCTGCTATGCCAGGATAATTACAGATTCAGAAACATTTTGAAAATCAATATTTGGATATCCGAAGGATTGAATTTGGATATCCAAAGAACTGTCTTGTCCCAATGGGATTGGCCTGTCCCACTCATTCTGGCAGGAAGGGCCTACTGTAGCCTCCATCAGCCAAGGAATTTCAGCTGATGGGGTTTAGGAAAAATATATTTTCTGCTAAGGATACCCCTTCCCTTTGGAATATCTTGCTGCCAGAGTGAGATCCACACCCATCCTTTTAGCCTTTAGGAAGAGCCTTAAAACTTGATCCTGGTGGCATGTGGCCTTGATGGAGAAGCTGTAGATGTTGGGCAGTTGGAGCAGTAATGGCACTAACTCCATTCTGTTCTGAGCCCATGGTTGTTGTTTTTTTGTCTGTATTTTATCTTTTGTAATTTTAATCTATTTTTATATTAATATGGTTTTTATATCTCTATTTTTATTATATTGTAAGCCACCCAGAACCACTCCAAACAACAGTAAGACTGTCCATATATAAATTTAATAAAGGCACAGATAATTAAGGTTTATAGAACAGAAATATTCTATAGAACAACTTGGCGTGAAAGCTCCCTTCCTTAATATTTTTAAGCACCTCGTTTGGAAGGCTTTTACATTTGCACAATGTATTTGCACATATAGCAATAGCACTTTGACTTAAGCACCGCTTCACAGGGCTTTACAGCCCTTTCTAAGCGGTTTATAGTCAGCCTCTTGCCCCCAACAATTTGCGTCCTCATTTTACCCCCCTCGGAAGGATGGAAGGCTGAGAACTTTGAGCCTGGTGGGATTTGAAGTGCCAAATGGCAGGCAGCCAGTAGTCAGCAGAAGTAGCCACTCTAGACACTGTGCCACTGTATAGCTCTTTTCCTTCACTGTGAAGAATCTATGGTTATGTATTTCACTGGTGATAGAGTTTAGAGTAGTCACAGAAGCCATCCAAAGCATTAAGTCTGTCTTTCCTTCCTTCCTTCCTTCCTTCCTTCCTTCCTTCCTTCCTTCCTTCCTCCCTCCCTCCCTCCCTCCCTCCCTGCCTGCCTTTCTTTCTTTCTTTCTTTCTTTCTTTCTTTCTTTCTTTCTTTCTTTCTTTCTTTCTTTCTTTCTTTCTTTCTTTTCTTCCTTTCTTCCTTCCTTTCTTCCCCACCCATCTCTCTCTGATAAAGCAATTTTAACTCTGATAAAGAAATTTTATTGCAACACTCATACAGTTTTTTTGTTTGTTCTGGCTTTGAAGATTCACGGATATTAAAGAGAACTCAGGAAAACTTGACTTCAACTTGCTTTCACCATCGAAGAAAGATTATTGGGCTATGTTGGCCTACAATAGATCTAAGCTTTGCAATATTCTTCTATCAAATGAACTGAATCGCCGGCTTTCCCCCCATGGAGTTACCTCAAATGCACTGCATCCCGGAAATATGATCTACTCATCCATTCATCACAATTGGTGGTTGTACACCCTCCTGTTTACACTGGCTCGGCCTTTCACCAAGTCACTGGTAAGAGCATGATATTTCATACGTATTGATTGATTGAGAGATTGGCTTTTTAGAAATTCTCTTATACCTACTGCATTTTCAACCACTCTTACATTTGTTGATCTTTTATATAATTGTGGCCCTTGTGGTAAAAAAAAAAGGCTGCATCCCTTGATTGTCTGGGTTGGTCTTTGATAAACTCTTGTGTCTTTTCTGAGTCATGTGGTTTGGTTCTGTGCATCTTATGTCTGAATATGACTACCTGCTCGGGGTCAGGATCTAAGAGAAATCAGAGCTACAAATTGCAATATGCTTAGGGGGGAAAATCCCAGTAAAGATGGGTTGCATTGAGAAGCATAAAAAGAAATATTGATCTCTATATGAAAAATGAACAAGTAAGCTTGGAATATACTGTATGAATGATTAATTCCATAGCACCTCATTGATGTCTAAATTTAGGAGTTGTATACTTGCCACAGTTCTGCCTTAGAATAAAATCTTGGCGTTGCAGGAGAGTAAATAGAGTATCATGTGTTAAGGCTGAAAGAGCCAAGCAGATGTTTCAGCAAACTGAATTTTTAAATCTTTTGCATTAAGGAAACATAGAAATCTGAGCTGATTGGGTTACACTTCCTAATTCAGTGCACAGCCAATGGTGGTGGTTGAGTTTTAACAGATGTGTTGTGTGCTGTCTCTTTTTAAATGAATGGGAATATAATACTGGGACTATTGCAGAATTATAATGTATAATCATGGGGGGAAAATCCCATCCTGACTATTGGCGAGTGATACAATTTTTAGAAATGAATCGAAGAAATAGGGGAAATTGAACAGGTTTGAAAGCTGACTGGTAACAACTCCTGATTTCTTATTTATTTCTTTTGCAACATACATATGACTTTGGTTCTGTACAACTGGTTGCTGGCAAGATTTGTACTAACGGTGTTTAATCATCAGTTAGTGTAAAAGAAATGTGCACATGATCCCAATTGCTGGGTGGTTTTGTGTTTTCTCTAATGGTACAGTTTTGCACACTGTTTATTTAGCACATTTACATAAGCCTAGGAACTCTGGACAGTGAAGACGAAAATCTACTAAAACGAAATCAGGTTTCAACTCAGGAAACTCAAAGGCACATTAGCTCATCAAACAAACCACATCCACACCACACTCCATCTATATCCTTGCCTGCAGGAAGATTTAGGACTTCTCAGTCTTCCAGGTGGCCAATTGGCATTGCACATATCTCAGGATGGATGAATAAAAGATAGGTTTTTGGAGCTCACAGGGTGACACTGTTTCACCTGTAGAGCTTGGAGCAGGCTCATTTCCCAGATCTAGTGAAACAAGCATTGGGGACTGAGCATGAGTTCTTTTGTGAATTATTGTTATTTTTAGATCTGAATGGCAGATATAGGTAATCCTTGATTTACAACCACAACTGGGGGCAGAATTTACATTACTGAGCAGGATGGCTGTTAAGTGAGTTGCACCCAATTTTACATCTTTTCGTTAAGTGATTCACTGCAGTTGTTAAGTGAATTGCATAGTTGTTAGGCAAATCTGGTTTTCCTTGGTGACTTTGCTTGTTTGAAGCTCACTAGGAAAATTGCAAATGACCCTAAGATATGGCAACTGTTGTAAATTGGATTTTGATCATGTGTCCATAGAGATGCTGCAATGGTTGTAAGTGTAAGGACTGGTTGTAAATCAGTTTTTCAGTGCTGTTGTAACTTTGAATAGTTGCTAAATGAATGGTTGTAAGTCAACAATTACCTGTAATTGTGATGACCCAGGAAGCAGCACACACGTAATAAATTCCCAAACATAAATAAATTTCCTTTGATGCCTTCAACTTGGCCCCACCATTCAATTGTTCACAGTTGGAGATTAAACTCTTTCCAAAATAGTCTCCAAAAGAAAGAATTACAGTCCAAACTCAAAGAACAGATAATGGAGAAATAAAAAAACCAAAACAAACCACACTGAAGGAATTTTCATGACAGACCAGGATAATTAATTACAAACTTCAAGAAGATAACAAGGCACAGTCCATTGGAAGAACGCCAACCAAGATAAACCTCAGCCAGAAATAAAACACACTTTGTCTCTAGCAACGCTGTGTTTAAACGCCCCTCCTTTATACTATTCCCCCCAGCTGCAGCCAATGAGGGGGATCATGGCCACTTCCTCTCCCGTAAGCCACATTGTTCCCTTCTCCATTCCTCCCTGGGTGCCCTTGGATGAAGAGGAGATGGGCTTGGGTCTTCCTCTGACTGCCCAGGCCTGCCTCTGCCCTTCCCCAGCCTCCTCCACAACCTCCGGAGCCACACTTGCACTCCCTGTCGGCTGTTCCTCCTCTCCCTCGGAGTTAGTCTACAACAGGAGCATGACAGTAATTCTACCTTTGCCTTTTCTTCTCAAAATCTTAACAAAGAGAAGCAAAACAAAAAAAAATACGATTTATTTGTAGAATAAATGCTTAGAAACAAAGAATTGATGTTCACAATCAGACTTTTCTATTCTGAATGCCTTTAGTTTAGAGTGAACTGGATTTCCTGCCATAGTTTGCTTTGGTTTGTGTATTGCCATGCCTGGAGAATCCTAGATGTACAACAGCTGTCCAGAGAGAGCCAGTTGTGTAGAAGACAATTTAACAGGATGAGGCTGAGTTGTGCACCACAAAAATGTTGATACATAGCCCAAATCAACTCAAGTCAGCGAAGAAGTGATTGTGCCTCCAGCTTCATAATTATGGAAAATTTAGATTTTAAGCCTTTTTCCTTGGCATATGTATCTCAGATCTTAACCACTACAATAGTTTATAGCCTTAATATAGATCTAATGGGAATTACAGCAATAATAGTTATTTTAGTTTGAAGAGTTACAGCATCAACTGAACTATTTTTGTCTAATTCTGTTAGTTTTATGGAACTCATTCAAGCACAGTGCTTCTGATTTTGACTTCTTTGTTCTGCTGGTCAGTGACCAAAATAAAGATTTTGATTTGATTTGATATTCCATAGTCCAAATAATCATGGCAGTCTTCAAGCAGCAGATATTTCGGTTATTATCCTTGTACAAAATATGTTGGCTGATGCAAACCAAACTGTGATTCGTTTTTTAAAAAAAGTTGAATCTAAACAGATACAGCAACTTTGAAAAACCCTTTAACTCGTTAAAAAAAAAAACCCCATCACTAAAGTGTTTTCAAGCCTTCGTTCTAGGTTATCTCAAGATGCCAACTCAAACTGAACTAATAAAAGTTCCCCATTTCAACAAAATGATTTATTTGGATTCTAAATATTGTGTTGTTTCTGTACTTAACATTTCCATTTTTAGTTTCCTTCTGATTCCTCCCATTTCTTGTTGGTATCTTCTCCCAGAGAGATTGTGTGTTCTTTCTCCCTTCAACACTCACTTACCAATATTGAGTAACTTTCAAATACTTAAGACTTACATTTATGTACCCTCCAGCTCAATTTTTTTGTTATATACAAAATGGTATGCTTACTTCTTGCCTGTAGTTTGTATTAAAAGTCTGTGAAGACAATCAATTGCTGAAATGGAAAACAAACAACTATTTCTTAAGAAAGAAAGGGGGCAATGTTTACATTTCTAATAAACCAATTTCAGTTTATTTATGACATGTTATATTTGTTCAGTAAATACTTTAATTTTGTTTGCAAAACTCACAATGCTTGTTACTGACACTCAAAGCACAGATTTTTTTTTGCAAAAAACAGACTTTTGCAAATATGTACTTTAATTTTAAACATTTGTGCATTAGAGTTGTCATAGTATATCTCAAAATTTAAGCCAGCAATTTCTTTCCCCTGTTAAATTAGTCTGCCATAAATGACATTAAATATTGAAACTAAACTCTACCATATAATTATAAAATATTTTTGTTCCAAATTGTCAGAGTCACTAAAAACATGGTGTTGATGAAGAACAAAGTTATGTCAAATTTCTAGTGGGAAAAAGAAGAATTTTTTAAAGATTGCAATCCACCCAGAATCAACCTGTGATAAGATGGCTGCTAATAAATATTACAAATACATAAAATTAAATAAATAATGATGGGAAAGGTGCAGGCCTATGCTGAAGCAAGTTTCCATCCATACCAAAACCATTTACTAAAAGGGATTTTCTATCAGGTCACCCCAAGTCATGTTAAGCATGAGGTTACATACCAGTGATGACATGACGTTTCAGCTATGTTCCTCTATGCAATCTCAAATTGCATGTAACTGTTAGAAGGTCAGGAGAAGCCAAAGTCTTAACGTTATAAAGTTTTTCAAAGTCTGCTTTGTGCAGAGATATTTCCTGACTTCTAGAAATGGCCTGGTTTCTTTTCCTGACGGTGGTCTTTATTTTTTCTCTTGCCCTTTTTTGAAAAAAAAACTGCAATACCACTTTTGAAACCTTTCCCCAATCAGTTTCATGTGATAGCTTCTCTTTAATCATTTACATTCTGGGGAAAGTCAAATATTCCATAAGAAGCCAAAGTAATCTATCTGAATGTATACTGTTTGTGCAGCTGGATATTTTATTTATTTGAAGTATTGAAAAAAGTCTCCTCTGACTTTGCAGGGGGAAAAAAGACAGTGAATAAACAGTAGGAAGGGCCAAGTAACCTGAGCCAGAAAGTTGCTTCTTTTAGAGCAAAGCCTTGACAAAATATTTTCCATGTTCCAGAAAAGAAGCAGAAAAGCTCAAAAACTTCATAATGTTCTTATAGTATAGTTGGGTTTCCCCGCACTTTGACTGTTCTTTAAATGCAAATATTGCAAAAGTGAAATGATTGTCTGTCCTGTTATATTTCATTCATAACATTCTCCTTTGGACAGTCATAATAAACACATGGCATTTAAGTTATTTTCTCCTTTTGGGGTATGGTGGTCATATTATCTTATGACTACTGCCCTGCAATGCTTAAGTAACCCACCCCATAGGGGTCTCAATATGGTCTTTAAGGACTGTCTTGATGTTCCTCAAAGACACATTGACTATTATTG